ACACGGCTTCTGTGTGTGCACAACGTCCTCTAGCTTTCTGTCGTTAGCGTCTTACATCGCTGCAGTCCGCTTGTCCTAACTGATGAAAAGGTGGTTTTTAAAAACTATTTCAAGAAAATATTTTTGTCGTCGTCCCGTAAATCTTGTGTAATTGCTTTGAAAGTATACAGTTATGTGCTTATAATATTTAACAAATAAAGATGATTTTGTCTACTTTCAAACAGGATTGTTTAGATGGCTTTATGAAAAGTTCCGCTACCCATTTGCTCCGATGTATGGGGGCTTCCCGGTGAAGCTGCGGACGTACTTAGGTGACCCCATTCCCTACGACCCCAAGATAACGGCAGAAGAGTTAGCTGAGAAGGTAAGTTGTGTTTTTCGTGTTTGCCCTAGGACAGGTTTTTATTTTCAGTTCTTTAAAATGACAGTCTGACAACCTGGCCTCTGTCTGTGGTTCTCAGCCAGGGGTGGTTCTGCCGCACAGGAAAAGCATAGCGATTTCTGGTGATGTTTTTGTTGTCAAGGTGGCTCACTGGAGACATTTAGAGGTCAGAGACTAGCAGTAAAATTGACAGCTGTTGTAGGATATCTAGGAAGGTGCCTCTGTGCGCAGGGGCTTGAAAATGCTGGACAAGCGTTAGGGAACAAAGCCAGCGTGGGAGAACTTAGAGAAGCCCTTAACTGAGACCATTGCAGAGGCTCTGGGTCTTCTGAGGTGAATTGGTGAGAAAAAGAGGCCTGAGACGGCCGTAGATGTGACATTTAAGCTGCAGACCAGCGATTGAAGCCTAGCAGAAGGGAACTGGCGGAGGAGAACACGTGTGATAAAGGTTAGTGGCTGAGGCAGTGTCTAAGAGAACCAGCAGTAGTAGCTCTTTCAAGGAAACCAAGGATGATGAGAGCCAGGGAAGACCGAGTGCCCAGAGTGCGCTATCCTGGGAGGCAGGTCCTCCGGGCCTGGTGCGCATCCAGGCTGGAGTGCGGTGGGAGGGCCGGCGCCAGGAAGCCGGGAGAGAAGGGAGCACTCCGCTGGGCGGCCCTCTGCGTCCTGCCCAGGAACCCGACGGCTGCGCGTGGGTGAACTTCCGTAGGGCAGCCTGAGATCCACAGGTGGGTTACCTTCGATGCGGCAGCCTGAGATCCAGTCACCGTTCAGAGCCCCCTCTGGGCCAAGAGCTAAACCTGCCCTCTGAGTGTGCTTTCAGAGAGGCTAAAACTACAAACGAGCAGTAACTGTCATGTTAGGGAGTCTCTTGAGGAATAGGATGTGTAAGTTTTGGTTATGATTTTTATAGCAGCTTTTGATATCAGTCTGACATTTAAAAAATTGAAATGGAGATAGAAAAACACAAATTTATCATCCTAACCGTTTGTAGTTGTAAAACTGAGTACTGCTGGACGTGTTCATATCACTGTACAGTAGATCTCAAACTCCTTTCATCTTGCAAAACTCGCCCCCCTCCGCTTGGCACCACCTTCCCGTTTTCCTGCCCTGGCTGCTAGCAGCCAGTGCTCCACATTTGACTGCAAGCTTTTCAGTGGAACTGTGTAGTTTTTATTGTTTTATCATTTTTTTTAAACTAATCTTGTAGCATGTGGCAGAATTTTCTTTCTCTTAAGGCATACTAATATTCCATTGTGTGTATTTAGCGCGTTTGCGTTAGCCACCCATTTGTTGTTGGGCATGTGGATTCCTTGTACCAGTGTCTACTTCTTGGCCTTTGTGAATAATGCCACAGTGAGTACAGCTGTGTCGGTATCACTTTGAGGCTTTTGGATGTATATGCAGGATGACATGCTCGATCATAAGATAATTCTGTATTTAATTTTTCTTGGGACTTCTGTGCTGTGTTCCACATTGTCTGTTTACATTCTCACATAGTGTACAAGAGTTTTAATTTCTTCCCATCGTTGTCAGTCGTTGTTATTTTTGTTTTGTTTCTTAATTTTCTTTTTTGGTGGAACCAGGGATTTAACTCAGGCCCCTGCGCTTGCCAGGCAAGCGCTTATTCCACTGAGCCATCTCCCCGGCCCTGTTTCTTGATTTTCAACAGTGGCCATCCTAAGGATGGTCATTCATGATGGTAACATCTCACTGTGATTTTGATTGGTGTTTTGCTAATGAATAGAGAGATTGAAAATGTCTTTTCAGATACGTGTTGACCACTTGTTATGCAGATATTTCTGCAAAGAATGTCCGTTCAATCATGTGCCCAAATTTTAATTGAGTTGCTTATTTTATTGAGTTGTAGAACTTTCTCACACACTCTGTAAATTAGCCCTGCATCAGATGTATGTGATTTGCAAATGTTTTCTCCCACTTCATTTTATCTGATATGTCGAGGTTTAAATTTGTCGTAGCCCCATGTGTCTCTTCTTTCTTTTTGTGCTTTTACTGGGCTGTCATGACCAAACCCATTGTTATGAAGCTTGAAATCTCATGTTTTGTTCTCTGATCCATTTTGAGTTGACTTCTGCATACTGTGTAAAGGTCAACTTCCTTTATATGTTCTTTCACATACAGGTATTAAAGTTTTCCCAGAACCATTGCAGGAGAGCCTGTACTTTTCCTGCTGCATGGTCTTGGCCTTGTGTTGAAGATGATTTGGCCGTAGAATGCAGTTTTCTTCTGGGTTGTCTTATTTCTGTGGGTCTGTGCCAGTAGAATGCAGTTTTGTTTATCAGTTTCGTTTTAGCGAAGTTTGCTATTTGTTGTCCTGCAAGCAGGAACACCACAGTGACTCCAGAATTTGGAGGTAGATCTATTTCCATCGAGGGCACGATTGGTCCCACTCCCAGAGCATCAGGCCTGGTGTCTGGTGGCCCAGGGCTTCTCTGGGATGAGCAAGCAGGGAGAGCAGACAGCGGCTTGTTAGTGGGGAGGGGTTTACACGGGTCGCATCACAGGGAGCAGCTGGACCTGGAACAGGAGCTGGTACCGGACAGCCACGAAGCCAGCGTACCAGCGGGGTGGGAGTGGGCTTCTGCTGCATTTCCTCCCTCTTTCGCTTCCCTGTAGGCCTTTGCTGGGCATGTTGCATGTGGTCTGAGACAAGGCCCAGCTGGGGTTCAGGCCTGTCCGTTCTGCGAGAACACCCTGGCAAGGTTGTTAGGGGCCAGTGGTACCTAGGAGAGTGTCCAGTGTACCTTGGATGCTCATCAGATCCTGATCAAGCATTTGATTGCTCTGTTGTCCTGAGGCCACCATGCATGGAATTTAAGGCAAAACACAGCCAGCAGAGGGTGGGGAGGCGAGGACTGGTAGGAGTCCTGCAGACACAGGCATCACGGGGAGTAGGTATGGCGCAGTCCTGTGAACAGTGTCCAGGGACACGGGTCCCAACACTGCAGCTTGAGCTTGCAGAGCAAGCCGTGGAGGGATCTGGCTCTCATACGCTGGGAGTAGCAGCAAGTTTTCTGCTGGGGTTGATGTTTCAGATAGCCGCATCTCCAGAGGAGGCTCGGCCTCTGGCCTGGGTTGTTTTGTGGTGCAGATCATCCCTGCAGGGTGTCTTGGCCAAACTAGTTCGACTGTGGTGACCACTGCATATCTAGCCTGTCCGACTTCATTCCTAACAGAGCTGCTGTGAGCTGTAAGCAGGTGCACTCAGCATCCACCAGGGGTCCATTTTAGGACAGTTCACCCTAGTAAGCACGTGGCACCTGAACAGTTAGGGCTGCCCCTAAAGTGACCTTGTCAGCTCTCTTGATCAGGAAGACCGGAGTGCACAGCACAGAGGCAAAGTGGACAGCAGCTCCTGGAGGCCATTGGGTGCTCCCAGGTGCTGATAGTCTGGGCGAGCCAGCGCTCCAAGAAATTTACAGAATTTACAGCCCCTGAGGGCGGGGCTGGCCCTGCGTGTGGTCCCTGGGATCAAACCTCAGTCCCCTGCACCTGCTAAGCTTGCCTAAGCAGGCGCTTTAGACCGCCGAGCTATCTTGCCAGCTTTAGAATTTCTTATAACCAGCTTCTGTTAGATACTGCAGCAGAGATTTTATGTCTGTCTATCTGAGTCACCCTACACAGCTCAAATTCTTAGTGATCCTCCTGTTTTCAGCCTCCCCAGCACTGTAGGCATGGTCTCAGTGGCTGGATCAGGGTACCTGAGGGCAGGGTTGACGCAGCATGTGGTGCCGGGGATTGAACCCCGGTCCCTGCATTTGCCTAAGTAGGTGCTTAGTCTGTTGAGCTATCTCGCTGGCCCTTTTGCATTTTTTTAGCAGACAGTTTGAATGTCATTAGTCAGAAATGCTTTTTCAAAAAGGAAACAAGTTTTGAACCTCCAGGAGGTTGAGTCCAGGTCTGTTGGCTTTTGAGTCCAGGACTGAGGTCTTTCTATTTAAAGGTAAAGAGGGGCTAGCTGACAGGGGCCAATGGAAAGTAGAAGAATACATTTTTTTAGCCCCAGGAAAGTGTACCAGCAAGCTTTGGGTACGGAAGACTGAGGTATCATATGTGGAGGGCAGTCGCGGTGGCGTTGGCAGTTTGAGGACCTTGAACTGGCTTTATGGGCAGGAGAGGAGTGCTCTCTGGTGAAGGTGGGGGCTGCCTTGGGACAGAGCTCAATCACCAAAGGGGCATGGTTGGCAGCAAGGCCCTGGGGTGAGTCTTTCGTCCATACTTCTGGAAACGAGTCTCTCACAGTCTCAGGGATTTCAGGCTGCTGTAGGTGCTCTTGGGGTGCAATCAGAGTAAGTATTATGTCAGGACAGTGGACCTGAGTGTGCGGGAGGCTGGTCACTTCCCACATGAGGCTCAGGGCACCCGGGCATGTGCAGAAATTCGTGTTTGGTACAGGGCCCATCAGTCTCACAGGTCTGCTTTGGCAGAACGTCTTTTCAGTGGGCTCCACTGGGAGCACCAATAACTATAGACGTGTTTATTGGCTTCTTGCTTCCCTGTTTGAGGCCTACCAGGAGAGCAGTGTGGTACTGGCCTAAGGCTTTGTGACCCTCTGCTGCATTACAGTCCTGGTCGGGATGCGCTCAGGGGAGGACTGTGTTCACCCGGGCACGAGGATCAACCACAGTGGCAGGGACTTTTGACTGGAACCAGGCTTGGGCTCATCTAAAATGCCGCAGCTTTCTTCAGTATTAATCAGAATCAGGAGGAGCTGCTGACTGTAGAGCAGGAGGCCGTGGGGCAGGAGGCAGAGCTGGCGGTGTGGCATTGAGCTGGCTGAGCAGCCTGGCACTGATGAATGTGAGGAAGCGTCTGCTTCGAGGCCTTCGGGCAGAACGGGAAACCTTTTCTGGCTTGGCCGAATGTGAGAGCCTCCCAGAGGGCCTGTGGCTTTGCTTGGGTGGCCAGGGTTTCTTTCTTGTTGTGAACAGCCCGGGTGTGGAGCCAAGATGTGAATCCAG